CCTCAAATGGGTAAGCTGACACAGATATTTCTCAGTACTCTCAGCACTCTGAGCTAAACTCCGGATAAATTCGGAACTGAACTGAGAATTGATGCTCTCCGGTCTTGTATAGTTTACCTCTCCCCCCCCTTCCGGCCGCTGAGAAATTTCCAGTACCTCCGAATTCTTGAAATTGCTGGAAGGCATACACAGTTACAGTTACATAGGATCAGATATAATTACAATTACATAGGTATTGGAACAGTTACATTTACGCCACCGAATTTGACGTATTTTGGCGATTTCTTGCCAACTTTTTCTGCAAAAGTTTGTCACCAAACCCATCGCCAGCTTGGTAATATCTCGCCAATTTGGTGAGATAGCCATTTAACTCAGTGTCAGATGGATTTGCCCCTGTAATCTTATTTTACCTATGAAAAGCTTGACGATCGTAAAGCCTTTCCTATTATATTATAAAGAGATACTACAATTTGCATATAATTTCACTGAAATTATTTACATGTGTACAAAATTCGTGATTATACACTGCAAAGCAATCTTTTTTAATATTTAAATGAGTGTGAAATTAACATTTAAACTTTTTTTTTATCTTGATAAATTTAATTGAGAGTTTATTTTTCTTTGTTTTAGCTCTTCCTTTCAAAAGGATTGTTATGCTTTTACAGATAAATATTTCCACAATTTCTTTCTGAATGGCATTTTAATCTGAAAAAGCAATTAAAGCTCATTAAACATTTATTACAAAAATTGCTAGAATATCATATTTTTAAACAGTTTGGTAATTATGAGCACAAATGCATGATAACTTTCTATCTGTTAACTTTCATAGTCATAGAAGAACTCTGATTTTAACTATTCAAATTTTATGAGTTTAAGATTTTTTGTATTTGAAACAGAGTGATCTAAAATTTTTGGTCACAGAATTAATTTATAAAACGAAAATTTTGTTTCAGAGTGACATGCATTTCAATAACCAGAGGAGAAAAATCCGAAATTTACTAAATTAATATATTTATTTGATTGCAAACAACACTCATTTAAATGAAATGTCCAAGTTAATTAATTATACACGATATGTAATGCGAGGGTTATTCGGAAACTAACGTCTGTTGTGGCGTGACGCTTGTAGTAGTGGGCGGAACGCAACTATTGTTACATCAAGCAAACTGTGGCTCAGTAAGCTTTCCTTCTATACTAGTGAGAGCGTCGTACTGCTGCACGGTGTGCTGATTGTAACTTCACAAAACGTGCGTTCCTATTGAAAATCCCGCCAAAGGTGAGGTAAGAGGAGTAATACGATTTCTTTGGAAAAAAAAAAAAAAACTGTCAGTGGTAGACACTCATCGTGAATTGTGTGTCCTATACGGCCCAAACATTATAAGTGAAGGTTTCGGGTAAGACTGTTCGAAGAAGGAAGAACAAATATTCATAATGAATTCAACAAGTGGGAAACCGTCTGTAATGAGTAATGATCTTGTTGAACAAATTGACGACAAAATCCACCAGATCCATCAATTCACATTTTCGGAACTTTCACAACAATTTCAGAACATTTCCCGGATTGTTTTGTCCGATGTAGTCACCGGAAACTTAGGCTCGAAGTTTTGTGCTCGATTGTTACCTAAACTTCTCAGGGATATCCACAAAATCAATCGAATAGGCGCTGTCTTAGACTTTCTTTCTCCGTACCACATGGAAGAGGGAAAAGGTTTTAAACAGAATGTTGATTGGCGACGAGATTTGGCTAGCGCATGTGAATGCTGAGACAAAACAATAGTTAATGCTTGGCTAATTCATGGAAACGTAGTACAACAATCAGTACTGAAGTTTACTGTTAAACTTTGAGGAAACGAAGAAGAGCCAAACGTCACGGCCTGTTGATATCTAGGGATTCTCTTCCTGCATTATAACTCTCGCACTCACAAGCTCAGCGAGCACAAGATCTTTTGCCGCAGTCCAAATGGGACGTGTTTCAACATCTTCTACAGCCCTAACTTTGCTCCTTCTGTTTACCATCTGTTCCTTACAGTGAAGGAGAGGCTTGGGGTACAGCACTTCGCTGACGATAAACAGCTGTGACAAGTTGGTTAAAGTCGCAAGCGGTTGAGTTTTATGTAGTAGGGAGTGGTTAAGTTGGTGAAAGGCTATGACAAGTGCTTGAATAAACAAGGTGACTATGCTGAAAAATAGAGGACGAGTGACAAGTGACGCGAGTACCACCCCTCTACCATAGCGGTTAATTGGTATAGCGCCGCGTCCTCCTTGTCTAGAGCACCCCCAATATGTCATGAGGAAGGGTGAGGGACCACACGGGCTCCTCACACCAGTCGCACACTGCTATTTCTATAAATATGCTACAATTATTGGCTATGTGAGTCAATTTAATTCCAATTACAAGATTTGTCCATGAAATAGTGCAGTGCCAGTTGAAACACTAACAGTTGATCATTATTTAGATTGAAAATTAAATTATTTAAATGCCGTATTATGCACCGAATTATTATAGTTGATGCATTGCCAGTTTGGGTTGCTATACTACGATGTCTTATTCCATTTTGCACAGATTTGTACCGAGTTCCGATAATTTGGTCATAACTGATGTGACTTGTTTCATTAAATGCTTTTGCTTGATCAGAAATAATGGTTGTTGATTGGTTCTCGGAAATGGTATATGCTGACCTGTTGTTAGAAGGCACTCTGTCAAATAATGCTCGTAGTGTGCTCAAATAGTGCTCGTAGTGTCGCAGACACATTAATCATTATTAATAGCATGGTGTGCAAAGTAGAGTGGGAAGGGACTGTGTCCCCAAATATATCGAATCATATGTTGGTTGGCCACTTTTCTATCGGTGTCTGCATAAGAAATATGATAATGGGTGCGCCTGCCAGTGTCGCCAGAATACAGTTCTTCCTGCCACATTGAAATGGCTTTAAGGTGAGTAGCACGTTTCCGATAGATAGGCCAAGGTGTTTGCACTTCTTCTGCGTCCTATGTTTAAAGCTGCGTCTTTCGCGAGGAGGTTTGCTGTCTCATTACCAAAATTTCCAGAATGTGCTTTTGTCCAGTGTAGTTTTATCATAAGATGATGATTTCTGCGTAGAAGTTTCTGAATATAAGAAATAATTGGAGAACTTTGACTTGGATTTTGTATTGCCTGAAGCGATAACATGCTGTCAGAATGAATGGTCACATTTATTATCTACTTTATACAGTCTTTCATTTGCATATTTTGGAGATATAAGAGTTAATGGTTATATTTTTTAACTATGAAACGCGAATAAATTTATACTTGAGTTCATTTAAAATACTGATTATATGTTACCTTAAGAACCGCATCCTAATTTATCATGACAGGGGCAATTTTTAAAAATAAATGTGATAATGCTGTTATCAGAAACGCTCTTTTTTTTTTTTTTTTTACGAACATATATATCTTTACTTTTATTTATGTCTGATTGAGTTTTATTTACTGAAAACCTATTATTAATGTTATTTATTTATAATAACCACTTTCATAATTACTCTCACTTAAGGAAAAAAATGATAAAATCTTAAATAACCGTAACTTAGAATTTAAGTTATTTAAAAGTATAGTTTTAAGTACTGAAAATAATTAAAGCTATTATTAATTATGCATATTTAGTCTAAAGAGAAAAATTGTATTATCTTCTGGTTTTAAGGAAACGATAAAATATTTAAACTTTAGAAAAATACAAGGAATACAAAAATTTAAAAAAAGAAGAAAAATTTATTAATTATTAAGCTTATTTTTCTGCATAAATCAATATGTAACACAAGGACATAATAATGACATTTTCACAACTGTTGCAAAAAAGGTGCAATTTTGCGAACATTTAGGCGTCTTTAAGATGTCATGATACGATGCTTTCACAACCAAAATATCACCTGCGAAAGACGCAATAATGACGTTTATGCGACAGAAACCTCATCTGCAAAGACGTAATAAAAACGTAATAAAGACGTCTTTGCAACGGTTGCAAAACAGTGGATGTTCGCGGACATCTGGGCGTCTTAAAGACGACATATTGCAACGTTTTTGCAACGACATCCGTGACGAGTTTGCAACGTCGTTACAAAGTTGCTGTGGTACTTGAGTAACGATATTAAAATTGCAACACCTAAAATGTATTCAACATAAAGTTTTGAAATTTTTCCCAGATTACAAAATAAACTTTTCATCCTCTCTAAAATCAAGAATAATAAAAAATATATATATAAAATGAACTATTTTTCACATTTTTAAAAAATGTGCAACAGGCTGAAGCAAGAGGGAAGACAATAAGCGTTTCTTGCCCAAAAAAATTCCTTTTGAGTTTCCACGCTTGGCAATGACAAAGTTTGCCGTCTCACTGTATTTGATGATGATAGTACTGGCATTTTTATTTTAGCTTCAAGTAAAATGCTTGTTGTAATATTGCTATTACATCCAGGAATTGAGCTTCATTCTCTGAATGTTGTTCAGTTATTTTTCTGTTATTCACTTATTTTTCTTTAGTTATTTATTTTTATTTTATCATAATTTTCTTATATTTTTTTGCTAGTGTTTTAAAAATGACTAAAAATTTCATTAAGGAAACGTGTAATTAAGACTTAAAAAATTTAAATAAAATTTTTTTATACAATAAGCTTTTATTTAAAATGGATATGACTATTAATACACTAAAAGGAAAAATAATTAATGATACAAATAATTATGCATATTTAGTCTAAAGAGTAAAAATTGTATTATCTTCTGGTTTTCATGAAATGATAACATATTTAAACTTTAGAAAAATACAAAGAATACAAACTTTTAAAAAAGAAGAAAAATACATTAATTATTAAGTTTATTTTTCTGCATAAATCAATATGTAACACAAGGACATAATGACGACATTTTCACAACTGTTGCAAAATGGGGGAATTTTGCGAACATTTAGACGTCGTGATACGACGCTTTCACAACCAAAATATCACCTGCGAAAGACGCAATAACGACGTCTATGCGACAAAAAACCTCATCTGCAACGGTTGCAAAACAGTGGAGTTTCGAGGACAATCTGGGGCGTCTTATAGACGACATATTACAAAGTTTTTGCAATATGACTCGCGACCAGTTTGCAACGTCGTTACGACGTTGCCGTGCTACTTGGAACAGTTTCATTTTAGCTTCATCTCTATTACAGGCGTCACACATATGTCTATTACAGGTGTCAAAAGATCTCAACGACCTGTAATGTATCTGTCACTAAAGCCGCTCGATTTTAGCAAGCTCACTTACGATTCTGCATATTCCAGTGCTACTGTTTTTAATCATAACGAATTAGAGGATTTGTAGAATAATTAAAGGGACTGACTAATTCAGTTTGCAAAAGCCATCAAGCAGACCAATTATAATAAACGCTATGAAATTCTCAACTACAGAGATTTCAAAACTTACTGCTAACAAAAACACAGGTATTCAGGCAGTGAATACAATTAATTAACTTTACTTATCTTTGAAAAGCCCACAGACTAACTCATTGCTACTTCTATGCCTAGAATATCTAACCGTTAATTTTTGTAAAATGCTATTATTGATTATATATTAAGTTTTGCAGATCATTAATAACAAATATTCATGACTTAGAACTAATGCAATCAAAGCAATACGCAATAAACCACTATTCGCTATAGAATGTTGATCAATGTGCTTTAAACAGAATATCATCTAATTTTATTTGTTGATGTCTAAAATCAAGTTTGATGCCTTTTAATTTTTTTTAAGATATACAGACTACTTAGATTATTTTAGTTATTTATCTCCACAATAAAATCATTTCTTGCTAATAAGAGATTGAACACCCTCTACATTATATATAGCCTTCGAAGTTCTGTTCTCATATATACGTTGCATAGCTTCGCAGAACAGTTTCTGTAATTCCAGTAGTGCGTTCTTTTTCTCTGGTGGTCCGTCGTAAGTTATGATTAAGGGATGTCTCACTTCGTCTAAAATAACTGAGTGGGCTGCCTGTGTTACCTCAGTCAAATAGTGACCGAACTGATTTTCGTCAGTCAGTTGTTGTTCTAAGCCCTTTATCTCCATCTCATTATTCTCCAGAAGCGTCTCAAGATTTTTCAGTTTTTCTTTCTCCGCTTTTAAGTTCTCTATCGTCTGGTCCAAAATTTTTCCAAGGTCTTCCGTTTCTCTTTTCGTTTGCAAATTAATTTTCTTCTGCTCGCGCTGCTTTTCGAGTTTCTTCTCGAAAGCTGAAATCAATGCCTTTTGTTGTTGCAACCGAACTGTTACTTGTAAAGAGGCGGCTCTTCGGGATGATAGCTTTTTCCGTTCCAGTTTTAATTGTTCTTGCAATTTCCTATTAGCTTCATTCAAGTGATGAGCCATGACACTGAAGCTGTTCACTTTGTCATTCCACCATCTCCTTTCCTCCACTATTCTTTCAAAACTTTCATCTATTCTACCCTTCAACTCCATCTGAAAAATGAGAGAGATTAACCAATTCTTCGGCTGCTCCATTATAAAGATGAAGTAATTATCAACTATTATTTATTAATTGTTATTCATTATTTAATAAATATTACATTATTTGGTACTTTTCCGTTTCGCCGGGGCAAATCTCGCCAAGCAGACTTTATTGGCGACAACATACAGTATACACATAAAAAATGTTAACAAATGTTAGTTCTTACGAATTTTTATTTTGAAGGCATAAACATCTTAATATCGTTTAAAACTTTCTAAAAAGCCAATAAATAAAGACAATAATTTGTAAAAAGACATTAATTGAGAATTTACTGTAGTTTTATGGTTCAACATCCTGATTCGCCGGTTCGAATCACGTGACCCCAAGTGATCTCATCTCACGTAAACTACGCTACAAAAATCTAATTCTCTCAGTAATTACCTACATTAATTTCAAGTTAAATCTTAATTTGGAATACAAGTTTAAATTAAAGAATTATTTCAAATCGTACGAATAGCTTACTCAGAAACTATGTAAAAACGCAGTGCTTTACTTCGGTAGTGTATTCTTATTAGAATTGATGAATTTAACCCTTGACTTTGCCTTTTCTATATTTTCGCCTTCGGGTGAGCAGTGTGATTGCATCCTAATTGACTTAATAACCGCGAATGGCATAAAATTGAACTATCTGGTAAAAATACTGTTGCTTCCTACGCGGCAATAAAAGTTATGTACAGCGCATTGTTTCTGCGCAACTTCAAAGTTACGTACAGCGCATTGTTTCCGCGCAATTTCAGTTAGTTAAGATTAGAACTCCTAGCGTAGCATACATGTTTTGATCCCGTATGGTCGGGAATTTATCATTTTCGATTTAAATTTTAGTTTTATTACAGTCCACGAAATAAAATTGTTGTAAAGTTGTCTTTAGTATACAGTCTAACCAGCGACCTCAAAACATTGGTCACGATCGGCCGCAGTTAATTAAAATAAAAAAGGGCTAATGAAGACATAACTACGTTGAATAGAAAACGTGGCGTTATTAAAGCGCAATAACCAAATTAAAGTCGTCTGTCAATGGAAAAAGTGATGATTTTGGTTTCGAACAAATAGGAGTATTGCAAGAAAAACTGCACAAGTTAAATAAACAAATTGATGAACTTCGCTTGGATTATTACAAAGTGTGCAAAGATTAAGAAATATCAGACATCGAAGCTACTTTTGAAGAAATCGAGATGGATAGTACCAGTGTTGAGGTATGCCTGAAATGTCTTAAATGTCTTCATACTTCATTATGTGATAAGAATGCAAATAATGAATATGCAAATAATAGTATTTTAGAAACAAGAAGTAATTCATTGAATTATAAATTGCATGAAATAACATTACCTAAATTTTCTGGTAATTTCGAAGACTGGAATTTATTTAAAAACCGATTTGTAGCTTTAATTTCATCAAACAGACAATTAACAGATTCTCAGAAATTATTTTATTTACAACCTTGTTTAATTGGTAATATAAAGCAGATACAAACAATAGATGATACTTTTTCTTCCTTATTTAAGGCACTTGAAGAAAGATATGATAATAAGAGACTGGTTGTAAATTCTCACATCAATGAATTACTTTCTATTGAAAAAATAGTTTATGAAAATCCTAAAGATTTACGCTCATTAATTGATAAAGTTCAGAAACATTTAAGATCATTAACGTTATGGAATTAAATATGGATAAATTAAGCGAAGCTATGCTGATTAATATTATTCTTAATAAAATAGATAAAGAATCACGTAAGCAATTTGAAATGTCATTAAATAGTAATGATTTATGTGAATGGGATTCTTTCATGACATTTCTTCAAAAGCGATGCCAGATGTTAGAAAATATGCAAAACAAAACTGTATTTGCCAAACCAAAACAAAACATTCCTCCTCCGAATAAATTTCGATCGCTAGTGACAAAAACGAATAATAATAATAATAAATTTATGTGTCCAGTTTGCAAAGATAATCACGCAATTTTTAAATGTGAAATATTTCTAGCATTAGATCCAATGGAATGATAAAGTGATTAAAAAGCTTTCTTTGTGCATTAATTGTTTACAATCATATCATAAAGTAGCTTCCTGTCAGTCTAGACACTTTTGCTAGGTTTGCAAATCAAAACATAATTCACTTCTTCATCGGAATGACGGATCCATGTCGTCTTTAGCAAATGGGGGAAAGCAAAGTGAAACTACGCCCTCCCCAGAGAACCGCAAAACTGAGGCTGTTTTGAATAGCAATGAATCAACAGAAAAAGCCTTATTGGCGTGTCTTTTTTCGAAAAATAAAACTATACTCCTTTCAACTGCGATTGTTTGGGTTAGAAATATTTATGGCCAATTCGTTAAAGCAAGAGCAGTTCTGGATTCAGGATCACAGTCAAATTTTGCTACAAATGAATTCTGTGAGCATGCAAATTTAAAAAAGGAAAGAATAAATATTCCTGTTTCTAGTTTAAATGGGCAAATTTCAAACATTAAATCTCGTACTTTTACTTCTATTTTTAATGGAAATAATTCGTTCTCTGCTTCATTAAATTTTTTATTTGTAAATAAAATCCCAGATTTAGTACCTTCTACAAAATTAAATATAGAAAATATAGATATTCCTGATATATCAAGGTTGGCTGATTTAGAATTTTCAACTCCATCTAGCATAGATCTGCTTTTAAGAGGAGAAATATTTTATGACATTTTTGTTAATGGACAATTTAAATCTTCTACGAAATCACTAGTCTTCAGAAATTCTCTGTTTGGTTATATAGCTACTGATTCTTTGAAAACAACCCTTGAAAATTGTCAGAATTATTGTGGACTTCTCAATAATGTTGATAATATTGATAAATTGGTAGAAACATTTTGGTTAGTGGGAAATATTGGTGAAGAAAAGCCAATTCTTAGCCAAGAAGAAGAATTTTGTGAACAACATTTCAAAGACACTTACAGACGAAATGAAGATGGAAGATTTATCGTAAAAATGCCTATGAAAAAGGAACAATTAGGAAATTCAAAGCATTTAGCCAACATAAGGCTCAATCAATTAGTTAAACGTCTTAGCAAAAACGCTACATTGCAACATTTATATCAAGATTTCATAACAGAATATAAAAATTTGGACCATATGATAATTCAAAACCGGAACTTGAGTATTACCTCCCCCATCATGGAGTAGACCAGAGAAGTCAAGTACAAAATTAAGAGTTGTGTTTAATGCTAGTGCCCCAAGCTCAAATGGCTTAAGTTTGAATGATTTACTTTTAGCAGGAGCAGTCCAAGAAGATACTTTGATATTCCTGTAAGATTTAGAAAACATCAAGTTGCAGTTATTGTGGATATACGAAAAATGTACCGGCAAATTTTAGTTGATGAATCCCAAAGAGACTTACTTCGAATCTTATGGAAGAGAAACCTTAGTGACTCGCCTGTGACATATAGACTCAAAACGGTGACTTATGTACTAAAGGTGCTCCACTTTTAGCCATTAGATGCATACAAAAGTTGCATATGACGAAATGCATAAATACCCTGAAGCTGCCAAAGCTGTCTTGTCAGACTGTTATGTTGATGATGTCATCTCTGGTTCATCAAACTTAGCAAGGGAATTGAAAAATCAGCTTATACAGCTTTTTCGTAGTTGTGAAATGACTTTGCACAAATGGAACTCTAATTCTCCTGAACTGTTGGACAGCCCTTCTACAAGCTCTGAGCTTTCATTCTCCTCCAAAAGTGATAATGTGGTTAAAGCTTTAGGCATTACATGGAATTCTCAGAAAGATGAATTCAGCTTTAAAGTCTCAATCAAGGAGAAATCATCGTATACCAAAAGAGGCATTTTATCGACAATTGCCATACTTTATGATCCTTTAGGACTGATTGGTCCGGTAATCACCAAAGCCAAGATATTTTTACAGAAATTATGGGTTCAAAAACTGAGTTCGGATGAACCACTTTTTTCAACTATTTCTCACGAATGGCAACAAATAGTTTCAAATTTAAAGACTGTTGAAGACATAAAAATTAATCGATGCATCCTTTCCAATCATCCACGCAAGATTTCACTCATTGGATATGCAGATGCTTCGGAAGTTGCTTATGGTGCAGTTGTCTGCTTGATTTGTGTCAATGAAGATCACGGCTCGTCATCTCATCTACTAGCCAGCAAATCTCGTGTGGCTGCATTGAAAACTTTATCTATTTTAAGATTGGAACTTTGTGCATGTTTATTATTGACTCGTCTAATTTCGAAAGTTAGCAACTCATTGAAGATGCATTTAGATGACATCATTCTGTGCACTGATTCCACGATAGCACTGTCTTGGTTGAAGACTTCTCGTCTTTAGAAGACCTTTGTTGCAAATAGTCTCCAAAATCCAAAGACTAGTAGAGCCACGGCACTGGAAGCACGTATCATCAGCAAATAATCCGACAGATCTGATTTCTCGTGGTACTTATCCTCATGAACTTGTGACATCTTCTTTGTGGTGGAATGGTCCTGAACAGAGCGAACTTAGTGATGCTTCTTTATTTGAACTTGACAAGACTCTCATAGATTCTCCTGCTTATCAGAGTGAACTTAAAAAACCTTTAAACATTAGTTTGAACTGCAATTTAAATTTGTTTTGGAATACCTTTTTTGAATTAACAAATAATTATGTTAAACTAATTAGAATCTTAAGTCTTATTTTCAGGTTTCTGTCCAATCTGAAAGGTCCAGTGAAGAAAATAGGCCCCATCAGTAGCACTGAATTTCAAGATGCGGAAATGCACTTGATAAAAATGGTTCAGGTAATAGAATTTGCAGAGGAGATTAAATCACTTCAAGATCAGAGAGTAATCAAAAGTCATGTAAAAACTTTAAATACATTTTTATATGGAAAAGATATATTACGTGTGGGCGGTCGCTTAACTCATGCCACAATTAATTATGATTCTAAACATCAAATTTTATTGCCAAAAAATCATAAACTTACT